ATATACACAGGCACATGCACACACAGGCACATGCACACACAGACACACACACATACAAAGATACATGCAGACACACACACAGAGGCACATGCACACGCAAAAACAAAACAGTATATTTCTCTACTGCTGTTCCAGGGACCCTGAGTTTGCTTCTCCAGGTCTCCACTGAGTGGCTTCCAAATGCCTGTAGCCCCAGCTCCTTGGGGCCCAATGCTCCTTTCTGGCCTATGGCACTGCACTCGCCCATGGACAGGAACCCACACACCCACAAATACAATTTTTGGAAAACTAAAAATAATTTTTTAAAAAATTACAAAGAAGAAATTACATATACACAGAAGAAATTGCCAGGCAATAAATGGGTCAATCAATCATCTGAGCACACAGTTCTCAGGCATATAAAACCTGATAAGACTTTTTAAGTGCTGACTACCTCTAACCAGCTGGCAAACACACACGAATTAAAAGTACTTTGAGATTCCCTCTCACCCCACTCACAATGGCCACCATCAAGAACACTGAAGACAGCAAACTCTGTGTGAATGTGGGGAGAACACTGCTGACAGTGTCAACCATGCGGCCACTGTGGGACTCGGTGTGGCAGCATCTCAGGAGTCCAGAGACAACTATTATGACTCAGTTCTCCCCTCCCCGCCATGGTCAGATGGGCGCTTCTCACTTTGACAGGAAAATGGGACCAGCCTAGCTGTTCATCAACAGAGGGTAGATCGTGACAATTTGGTACATATTTATTTATCCAAATCATTCTTTATCAACCTGAATTTTTTCATGGTAAAGTTTTCAATTAAGTCCAAAGTAAATTTCAAGTCAAAGGAAATTTTCAAGTAAAGTTCAAAGAAAAGTACACAACAGCTACTAAATCGTAGTTCGTTGTGTATTTAAAGACAACTGGCTCTCAACTAGGCCAGATTAAATTAGACCAGGTATGTTAAGGAGCTCTCACTAGTAGAAATGTATTTTACAACATAACATAATGAAGCAAAAACTCTGCCTGGCCAACTCATCAAAATTCTGTCTCAAAAGTTAGGGGAAGGGCTATGCCAGTGACACAGGTCAGTGAAGAGCACCTGCCCAGCATCCAAGAAGCTGTAGGTCCAATCCCGAGTACTACAGTACATACACATACATACATACACATGGGCGTGCACACACACGCACACGCGCACACACACACACTGTGGGTATAGCTCAGTGATATAGTACTTGTATTATAAGGAAATGGCATTTCCTTAATTACTGCTATAAATTATATTCCGTTTATTTCTCCTTCCTTCCTTCTTTCCTTCCTTTTCAAGGGTTTCTCTGTGTAGTTCTGGCTGTCCTGAAACTCACTCTGCAGACCAGGCTAGCCTTGAACTCAGAGATCTGCCTGCCTCTGCCTCCCAAGTACTGGGATTACAGGTGTGCGCCACCACTGCCCAGCTAGTCCTCATTCCTTGAACTGAATGAATAAACTGAACACTTACAACTCACTAATGATGGCACAGATGACAAGAATTCTACTCACAATAATCATTAATTAAACTACCCAGGCCTATCTGGAACACATATTCACTAGTCAGTCTTTATAAGCCCAAAGGCAAAGAGCTAAGTGAGACCTCCATCAACAATGAGCAAGGAAGTAAGGTCCCCAGTCCAACAACCCTGGGGGGTGGGGGGAAGCACATACTGTCACCACCCAAAATGAGGGGTTTAGAAAGCAAGCCCTTCCCCACCTGAAGCCTCAGATATCCTAGCCCTGACCTGACCACAATATCTTCAGAAGTAACAGGTCAAGTTCTATTCAGACATCTGACAAAATAAAAATTATCAAGTAATATTGATTGTTAAACAGCTGTCGTTCAAAAAAATTTGTTGGGCTTTCTTTTTTTAAGACTAGGATTCATTATGTAACCTATGTCAATCCCAAACTCACTGTGTATCCCAGGCTGTTCTCAAATTCACAGAAATCCTCCTGCCTCAACCCCTCAAGTACTGAGATTACAGACACACACAGTGCCCAAGTAGGGTCATTCTTACACAGCAACAGAGACATGACGCACAGACTTGGGTCATTTACCAGAAGGTAGGTTGTAGGCAGTCTGGATGTGGACTGATGAGAAACTGGTTTAATAAAGGCAGCAGGTGCATAGATATGTTGAGCAGCTTCTAAAGCCACAGGTTAGATGTTCATTTCACATTACTACTAAGTCAAAATGCTCTTCTGAAAGGAAGGTTGTGAGGGGAAAAATCAAACATAAACAAAAAACATTGTTCTGATGTTCACTTCTGCACATAACAATGACACTGTTTGCACAGGGCAACCTGGCTCCCCACTGACAACTACTGGGCCTTCTCTTGCTGCTGGAGCGGCCATGAGAAAAGGATGCTGCTCCAACAGCTAGAAAAATCACCCCAATACCGGCACCAGCTGCCTTCACCATGCCACAGATGCCTTGAGACAGCTATGTTCATGACTACAGCTGAGCACGCTGGCTGCTGGGTGCCCTGCCAGTCGAGGCTATGTCAGTCTATGGTAGATGTGCACTCCCCAGCCTCAGCAAAGGAGGAGCCTGTCCCTGAGCTGTCTCTGCATAGGCCATGTCCAGTCCCCGAATAGTCCTTAATGGGCCTGGGTTCCCCATCAAATACCACCCTAACAGAAGACAAACCGTCAAGAGAAGCTGCACTGAACAATCCCAACGCAGCCAGGGCGAGCAGGGGACAAGAGAGCAGAGGGGTGAAGAGAACCTGAGGGCTGTACTCTGCACAGAACTCCAGAAAGCTGTCAAGTAGCAGGGCACAGGGACACAGGTTGTAGCATAACAACTTTCATACTGGTTTCTGCCAGACACCAAGGCCCACAGGACTTGTAAGGCTAAGGGTCTCTATACACAAGATTGGCATGGGGCTGTAACACTAGAGGGCGCCACTTGCCACTACTTCCATCAGTCTGCTACTGCCACCTACTGCTGTCACACATGTCACACAGGGAAGGAAAGGAACCGAGGGTGTTAGAGACCAGCATCTGAAAAGCTTGCCTGTCCACTACTCCATCTGGATAGGTCAGAAGAACCTGTAGGTAGCTCAGTGCTCATGATGGGAAGGCAAAAGTACCACTCCAAATTTGATGCCAGCTTAGACTACATAGAAAGTTCCAGGCTAGACAGGGTTATATAAAGAAGACATTCTTCTTTAGAAAAAAAAAAAAAAAAGCAAGCAAGAAAGCAAAAAAGGAAGAAAGGAAGGAAGGAAGCAAGGAAGGAAGAAAATTAAAAAAAAAAAAAGACTTATTTCCAAGCACATGTATTGCTACAGAGCAAAAGAAAAACTTAATGCCAACAGTGAAATCTGTAGCCCTTGAATTCTCTATGCAACCCGAAATAGCCTTCAGCTCATAATCCTGCCTCTGCCCTCCTCCCCCCACCTCACTATGCAGGAATTATAGGCTTGCCACCACTCCCAGCTGGAAAATATTTACACAGGGATTATGAATACCAGTGGCTACTCACCTTATTTACAAAAGAATCCCTAACTTACCCTCCAAGACCCCGCGATTTCTAACAGAGCATCCTAACTTCCTTCCTAAAGTATCCCTACCCTTGTCCCTTCCTTCACCTCCAGTTTGACAGGCCTACTCGGAAACCTAAGCATGTGGCCAACTCAGGGCTTTGCATCTGCTGTTCCTGCTTACAAGGCTCTCCCATTAGATGGCGAGCAGCAGAACACCTCTGAGCCCACTTGGGTTTCCATTTAAATAGAATATGTCATGTAAGAAACAAGTCCCAACACTCTGGGTTCCTTCCTACACCCCGCATTACTCTTTTCTGCACCGTGATCCTGACATCATCACGTACCGCTCTTGTCCTCAGTCCCACTCTGCAACGAGAGCCTATGTTACCATTGAACCCTACATACAAGATGAGATGACACGAAGTACTCATGGATTCGCTCAACTGTCATCCATAGTCCGCTCACAGTTACAGAGAAACATTAGTATGTGTTACCAAAACAAAAGTCTCAAACTCTCAGCTTCCAAATACTATTTCACAGTCTAGCATTCTGAATAAAAATTCACTAGACTCCCAGGGACAAAGTAACAGAACTAGTAGCAATAGCAAAAATAATTATTCCATGATGCAAGGCTGAAGCAGGGCAGCCCATGACCTCATTTAATGCAGTTTCTACCATAAGCAGTACTGAAAATGACTCTCAGTACAGAGTTTTTAACACTGCTTCAAAATAAGTGGGCCCCAATTCAATT